CAAATGTGTAGACTTCTCTCTATTATGTGTAGACTTGCAAAGGACAGAACCGTAAAATAACTGTCTGTTTTTTTGTTTGGTCACAAGGGTTAAGTAGTAACTTCATAACCCCTTTAGGTTGGTTTTGCATTTGACTCAATAAGGGGTACACCTTTAGGGTTGAAATGAAATTTTAGGTTGGTTTTGGCAAATCCCCCTAGATTTAACAGATTACAATTTTTAACATGATTTATTAACTATCAAATCATTGAAATTCATTTTTCATTAACGGCCAATTAGATATTAATTTGATTTTATTTTATGGTTATTTAATATAAACTAGTTTTAGATAATGATAATCATCCAATCAATAAATTTTTTTTTCAATTAAGGTTAATTATATATTAATTCGTTTTTAATTTATAGTTAATTATATATTAATAAATCTAATTATTCATAAATAATTAAAAACGAATTTCCTTGATTTAATAATCTCCATTATATAAAATAGTTTTTATTATATTATCTATTTTTTATACTGTCTGATCCAAAAATAGTTTATATTATGTAAAAATAGTTTATGTTGTGTTATCCAAAAAATCCATATGTATGTATAGATGATTCCAGTTTAGTTTACGCAATAAAAATATTTTTACACAATACACACTATTTGATAGATAAAGGTTTCAAGTTTATATTGTGTTAAAATAGATTTGATATGTATATTTTTACGTTTGGGGTTTAATTTCTCTTACAAATACATGCGGGTGTGATAGATATTATATTTTTTATAGTGTTTTTTTCTTAACACTATTTTTTATAGCGTTTCCAAATTTAGTTCAACTAATAAAAATATTTCTGTTATTATAAATTTATTTTTGTCCTATAACGAGTTTAATATATAACTTTGATTAAATATTCAAATGCATGAATGATTCAAAAATTATACTACGCATTAAAAACATTTCTATTTTGATTAAAAAAACTTTATCATATATAAAGAGCATGATTACCGGTTAACCACTAAATATTTTAGACATATAAGCAATTATCTATTATGATAATTATTTTTGATAGTTTTACTTATTTTCATGTTTTAATAGTTTCATATATAATTTATTATATAATTAAAATGAATTTCTATTAATATTGTTTTCAGAAAATAGGAAAATTATTATGTATTAGATTGTTATTTTGAAAATATATTTTTTATTATAAAATTTAAATGAATTTGCTGATTTGTAACTTCTATATGATTTAGATAATTTTGCTAATTTTCATAATTTAATAGTTTATATGTAATTTATTATATAATAAAATAAATTTATATTAATAATAGTATATTTTAGAAAATAAGTTAATTCTTTTGTATTAGATTATTATCTTAATAATATATTTTTCTATTACAAACTTAACTAAATCTGCTGATTGATTTGTAATTTCTCTGTGATTTAAGTAATTTTACTTATTTCTCTTGCTTTCAATAATTTCATAATAATTTATTAACAAAATGAATTTATATTAGTAATATTATATGTTTAGAAAACAAGATAACTCTTATGTATTATTTTGTTATCTTGAAAATATATTTTTATTATAGAAATTAAATACTAAATTATGTAAAAATTATAACTGAATATAAATCAATCAATGCTGATTCGTCAACTTTCTATTATTTTAGATAATTTTGATTATTTTCATATTTTAATAGTTTCATATATAATAAGATGAATTTATATTAATGATATTAACTTTTTGGGATAAATCCTATGTATTAGATTCTTATTTTGAAAATATATTTTCAATTATAAAATTTAAATGAATTTGCTGATTTGTAACTTCTCTATGATTTATAAAATTTTGCTTATTTGTCATATTTTTAATAATCCTACATGTAATTTATTATATATTAAAAACAAATTTCTATTATTAATATTATATTTTTAGAAGATAAGATACCTCTTGTGTATTATATTTTTACGTTGAAAATATATATTTATGTTATGGAAACAAATAGATGTAAAAATTATTATTAAATATAAACTAAGCAAAACCTTTGTATGAACATATATTCTAAAATATTATCTTATTTAGTTTTGTCATTTATAATTAATTTAAAAACATAAATCAAAATTTATTATGTTCTTTTTGAATTAATAAAAATAAAAGAAAAAATATTTGTGAGAAAATTGTGTCCGCATACTAAAATATTATGTTATGTGATTTTTGTCATTTATAATTTTTTAAAAAACATAAATCAAAATTTATTATGTTCTTTTTTAATTAATAAAAAGAAAATAATAAATATTTGTAAGAAAATTATGTTCACATGTGCGAACAAATCACCTAGTTAATTAGTATAAAAATTACATAATTTTGGTGTTTCATCATCCTAAACTAAAAAAAGACCATTATTCTTTTTTTTTGTCTGGGTAATTATGCTATTACAAATTATCAGAAACATAAATAGATGATATTACAGCCGATAATTCTACCTATCATATGCGGATTCACGTCTGACTCCATCACCCTGAGCCATCTTATGAGATTACAGTACTTCTTGCACCTTGCCGAAGATCTCTTATAAATCTTTTCTCCAATTTTCTGCATAATTTACCTTTTCTATGAATTGAAACCTATAAATTGCATAGTCTGGGGTTCGACCCCAGACCTAGGCATAGAAATCTTTTAAATCTTGACCTAGGCCACGGTGCTTCCAAAGAAAAAAAAGACCATTATTCACATGCAAACTTTTGGCCCATGGGCCAAGATATTAATTACTTATCTTGACGCGCAAGATGAGCGGGTATACGTTACCGAGATATCCGCAGTACAATTAACCCTAGAAAGTTATATTTCCTTATACAAACACTGAAAAAAAAACAAATGTCCTCTTTTCACAGTAATCTTCTATAGAAAACTTTCTCCCTAGAGTCTTCTCAAAATCAAGATCTTCAACCGCCATGAGCCGCATAGATCCACCACACGATAAAAAGAAGAAGAAGCCATCACCGGAGACAGAACCTACATCTATATCGATCCTATCACTTCCCGACGATTTGCTGATAAACTGCATATCCCGAGTCTCTAGACTGTACTATCACAATCTCCCCCGCGTCTCCAAACGTTTCCGATCAATCCTCCGTTCACCGGATCTTTACGCAACCCGATCGCGCCTAAACCGCACCGAGATGTGTATCTATCTTTACCTACGATTCCCTTTTGATCCTAAAACGTACTGGCTCACTCTAACCCGTCTACCTAGTCGAAACGTAACCAACGGATCGAGCGGCTATTACGTGGAGAAAATCCCATGTCCAAACTATTTGCGTCCTGCTCAGTCGTCGACTCTCGTAGCCGTTGGATCTGATATCTACAAGATCGGTGGCGCTAATCATTTGCATGAATGCAAAATATGGAAGAGGAACTATTGTTCAAGCGTCTCTGTCCTAGACTGTCGCACTCACACGTGGCGCCAGGCTCCGAGCATGCAGATGAAGCGTAACGCAAATGCCACAGCGACGTTGTTTGAAGGGAAGATATATGTAGCCGGAGGATGTGATGAAAAGTACGTGAGTTACCCTAACTGGATCGAAGCGTTTGATCTAGAGACACAAACGTGGGGCCCTGTGACGAACCCTCGTGTTTTTAGACTGTGGGAGGAGGATAGAGTTAAGGGCTTTGAAGCCAAAAGCGTATCACTTGAAGGGAAGCTCTACATTTTTGGGGATGAGTCTGCGGTGTATAATCCTGAGGAAGGTAAATGGTCAGAGTTAGGAAGGGAGATGTGTCGTATGCGTAGGGTAGAAAGAGAGTTGTGTCATTGCGTGATTGACGATGTCTTGTTCTTATGGGATAAGCATAGTAGAGTGTTCAAATGGTATGACTCCAAGTCAGATGAATGGAAAGATTTGAGTGGTATTGAAGGGTTGCCAGAACTTTCGCCCGACCCTCAAGTCTGTCAAGTGGCAATGGTGGATCTTGGTGGAAAGATTGGGTTTTTGTGGGATCAGTATTTGTATGAGACCAATCAGGAGTGTAGGATCTGGTGTGCTGAGATTACGCTTGAAAGACGCGATGGAGATGAGATGTGGGGGAAGGTTGAGTGGTTTGATTCTGTGCTTAGAACCCACGAGTCTTGTTTTTCGTTCCATGTTGTTTCTGCTTCTGTTTGATGAATTTACTACTCATGTGAACATGGTTGGACCGTTATTATTGTGCTTAACCCACGAGTCTTTTCTCTTATAGTATAGTTGTTTAATGTTTTCCGGCCTATGGAATTTTCATTGTTTCACTATGGTTCTACAACTTCTTCTACTTGTAGTTTTGTAGACGGTCTAGCTTATTTTGACAAAATTAATACACTTTTGTTAATCAAAGGGTATGTACAGTTCTTTGAAGCTATGCAGATTGCCAAAGCCGGGATTAGTACACGTTTTAGTTTTTTTTTTTGTAAGAATATGTAAGAATATTATTGTTGTAAGGTATATGTTAACACTAACAATGAGGTACGTCAACAATTTCGATGGTGTTAGTTTTCTGAAAGACAAGTTACATGTACATGAAAAAAAATCTAAGTTTTATCAGTTTAAATGTGTCTTTTATACTACAAAATAGAAGTCCACGATTTTCTGACTAACGTATGTCATTTAAAAATTTAATCTTTTTTTTTCTTTGTTTTACTCTTTTTTTTTTTTGTAACACAAACATTTTGTTGTTTGTTTACAAGTAATCGAAAATAAACAGTTTATACAAAAGACATTGTGGCACCCATTGTGGCATCATTGACTCGAAACAGAGAACACAGGTAGCAAGACAAGTTGAAAGAAATCTAGTCATATATTACACAATACACAAGTATATACACAAATAAGTAAAGAGTTGTGAAGTTAGAATAAACAAAAAAAAACCAAAAAAAACAAATGCAAGTCACTAATAAGATAAACAAAAACAAGTTTGCTGCATAAATGTGTGATAAAAATCCCCAGAGTTTAGTTTTGTTTGTCAAGCAAGCTCTTACACATCAATATTATTAATTTAGTAGCATTAATTGTTACTTTTTATCCTCACTACTCCATGGAATATTACCTACATACCATTGGACCTATTTTAATACAATATGTAATATTTTACTAAAATTGCAACCATCTTTTTATTAATCAGTTTGTAATTTCTTCGCCAAAATACTCGGACCCATTTCTTTCTAATACATATTGGATTATTTTTGTTCCTTTTGTCACTATACAGCCCAAATTTTTATTTATGTTATTCAATAATTCTAACCTTTTATTTGATGAATATCATGTTACTTTATAAAATTAACTTATACAGTTATATTTTTGACATATGTTTCTACAATAATATTTTAATTACTCTTTATATTATGGCTATAATGTATAACATGTAATTATTATACTATAGCCGCTTTATTTGTGTTAATAAATACAAAATAAAATATTAGTTATAGTTTGAGAAATCCTTTAAGATAGCACTAAATTATTTTTATCATAAATAAATACAGAACACAATTTTCAAATTAACCAAAATCTATTCTATTAAATTAGGATTATAATTAATAAATGTTGGTCTAATTATTTATTATTCATTTATAAAATATTAATTTTTTATATTATTGATAAATGATTAAACATAAATATATTAAAAATATAAAATTAAATTTTCAAGAAAAATTAAAACAAAGATATACCCGTCTTTTCAAATGACGGGTCAAAATTTAGTAATAAATAAAAACACACACATTTATAAAAAAGGCAATACTATCAGCGTGTTGGAGTGAGAAAGAGACGCAGCAAACACCTTTGAGTCCATAACGCCTCCATAACGCTTCAGTATCAGCGACTATTGTCATGTTTTTCATGACAGGGTTGAAGTAGAAAACATAGAAGGGGTGTGGGCACGCTGTCGCCGTGTCGGAGATTTGTTGGGGCGAAAATGATTTCACCAGCCTAATTGTTGGTTCCTTGGGAAATCATACAGTTACCCATCCCAAGAGTGAAGGGAAGAGACAAGGGAAGCTGAAATGATTGTTTGGACCACTCATGTTTGGTCACATCCTCCAGTATCCAAAGATTAAAACGGTCGAAAGAAGGACCATATCCGTGACAGTTTGGTACAATGACAGCTGGCTTCTGATAGATTGTAGATCTATGTAACTCGTAAACTCTTCCTCTTCTTATCGAATCAATGTAACAATTACAACTCTGCTAATGAATCGAGCTAAGTTCTCATGGCGAACTCAGATCAATCCACTCGTCTCATAACGACGGTGTAGTACAGACTCATAACGTCTATAACTGACAACAACAAAGCATAAAAGACTCGATAGCAAACAACAATCTATTTATACTCTCATTTCCTTACTTCCATTCTGCAACTGCAAATCTTCCGCAAGAAGTAGAGGTTCTCCCTACACTCGAACCCTCTCATGGAAATAGAAGTTTCACCACTTCTTTATTTGAATCAACACAACGATCATTTTTCTTCTGCTTCCAAACCCTTTCTTCCCTTCTTCCGAACGTAAGCCTTCTTATACCTATCAATACTTCCCCCAACGAAATCCAGCTTGCCCTCAAGCTGGTAATCTGGAAAACTTGTCTTAAACTCCTGATAATCCATCCACGAATTCTCCAACGCAGACATATCCTTCCATTTGATCAACAACTCCAACTCACCACGAGAGTTATAACGTTTATCTAGCACATCCTCCGGAGCAATCAACTCATCATCTGCAGTCAAACAACCTGGTGGTAACACCTCACATTGCTCCTGATGTCCCAAAGCCAGCTTCAACTGAGAAACGTGAAACACTGGATGCACTCTTGCTTCAGGTGGTAACTGTAACTTGTAAGCCAGTTGCCCAATCCGATCAATGATCTTGTAAGGACCATAAAACTTGGCTGCTAACTTCTGAAAAAACGCTGCGCCACTGATTGTTGTCTATATGGCTTCAGTTTCAAATACACCATATCTCCAACCGCAAACTGCACATCCCGTCGAGACTTATCGGCTTGAGTTTTCATAAGGTCTTGAGCACGTAAAAGATGTTTCTTCAGAGTGACAAACATAGCATCGCGTTCTTGCAAAGTTTTATCCAATTCAAAATTCGAAGTAGAACCAGGCTCATAACACAAAAGTGAAGGTGGATCCCGTCCATATACCACTTTGAACGGTGTTGTCTGAATAGACTTATGATATGTAGTATTATACCATAACTCAGCCCAAGACAAATACGTAAACCAGGTACGGGGGTGAGACGAAGAAAAGCAACGCAAATAGGTTTCCAAACACCTATTCAAGACCTCAGACTGACCATCAGTTTGGGGGTGAAAGGCGGTGCTAAACTTCAGAGTTGTACCAGCTAGACGAAAAACTTCACTCCAAAAAGAACTCAGGAAAATGCGATCTCTGTCGGATACAATACTCCTAGGAAATCCGTGCAACTTCACCACCTCCGCAATAAATCTTTTGGCAACATCCAGAGAAGAAAACGGATGTTTCAGAGCGAGGAAATGCGCAAACTTACTCAAACGGTCAATGACCACCAAAATCACATTCACACCATTGGAAGTAGGTAATCCCTCAATGAAATCCATATTTATATCTTCCCATATCAACTGTGGGATAGGTAATGGTTGAAGAAGACCCGGCGGAGACAAGGTTGAGTGCTTGTGAGTTTGACAGATTGCACATGAAGCCACATAGTCTTGAATTTGCTTATACATCCCTTGCCAAAAAAAAGAGCTCTGAACCCTCTTAACCGTCTTAAGAACTCCTAAATGTCCACCACTTTTACTGTCATGAGACTCCTGTAAGATTAGTGGAATGAAACGGGATGTCTGTGGTATCACAAGCCTTTTCTTCAACCACAACCTCTCATCAATCACTGTATATTTCTTAGATATCAAGTCACCCTTCTGAATCTTCCGTATAACCTCTTGAATCCTCTGATCTTCGTTTATTTCCTTATATAAGTCCTCCCACTGCAACGCTGTTGGAACTGTCAAAGCGAGTAATAACGAAGACACTGACATGGAACGAGACAAACCGCCGGCTGCTTTGTTTTCAGGACCCGGCTTGTAGAAGATCTCAAAATCAAATCCCAAAATCTTAGTTAACCATCTTTGATATTCCAAGTTGACCTCCTTTTGTTCCAGCAAGAATTTCAAGCTTCGTTGATTGGTATGGACATGAAATTTCCGTCCTAACAGATAATGCTTCCATTTCCTAATGGCCATCACAATTGCCATCAACTCTCTTTCGTACGCGGGTTTGAGTTGTTCACGAGCCGTAAGAGCATGACTGAAGAAGGCAATGGGTTGTTTATTCTGCATCAAAACTGCACCTACGCCAAATCCAGACGCGTCAGATTCCACCACAAACACCTCCTGGAAATTCGGCAAAGCTAACACTGGAGCATGACTCAAGGCAAACTTCAAGGAATCAAATGCTCCCTGTGCTTCTGGTGACCACGAAAATTGATCCTTCTTTAATAACATGGTCAACGGACGAGCTATATTCCCATAATTTCGAATGAACCTGCGGTAATATCCTGTTAAACCAAGAAAACCACGAAGTTGTTTAACAGTTTTTGGTATAGGCCAACCACTCATAGCCTCAGTCTTAGCCGATTCTGTAGCCACTCCCTTCACTGAAATCATATGACCCAAATATTCGACTGTTTCCATTCCAAAAATACATTTTTTCTGGTTCGCAAACAAACTCTGCCCCCTCAAAACTTGTAACACCAAACGTAGGTGTTGCTCATGACTTTCTTCATCAGAGCTGTAGATTAGAATGTCATAAAAAAAAAAACCAGAACAAAACGCCGCAAGAATGGTTTGAAAACTTGATTCATCAGTGCCCGGAATGTAGCAGGAGCATTAGTAAGGCCAAAAGGCATTACCAAAAACTCATAGTGGCCCTCAACTGTTCGATAAGCCGTTTTAGAAATATCCGACTCCACCATTCTAATTTGATGATACCCCGATCGTAAATCCAGCTTAGAGAAAACCGAAGCTCCATGTAGCTCATCTAAAAGCTGATCAATAACCGGAATAGGATATTTGTCCAAGACAGTGGCTCTGTTTAATGCTCGATAGTCAACGCAAAAACGGAATGAACCATCTTTTTTTTTAACTAACAACACAGGACTCGAGAATGGACTTGTGCTTGGTCTGATGATTCCTGCAGTTAACATATCGGTTACCATTTGCTCCATAGCTACTTTTCTAGCATGAGGGTAGCGGTATGGTCTAACAGAGACAGAAGATACTCCAAGATGGAGAATAATGGCGTGTTCTTTTCCCCGGAATGGTGATAAAGTAGTAGGGAGAGCAAACACGTCCGTGAAATCCTGAAGTACCAAAGAGAGTTTTTTACGAACTTCTGGAAATGAAGATGTTGCTATAGAAGTGGTTAGCAGTGCTTCTCTTCCTGGCTTAGCACTTGTATAGACTGGTTTCAACGACTTGAAAGAGAACTTGGTACAATGTAACTCCTTCTCGCCAAACAAAGTAACCTTGTTCCCTTCATAGACAAACGAAAAGGTCTGCTGAATCTGTCCAGCATTCTTTCCGTAAACTGGTCCCAACTCAAGAACGGCTCACTGATACACTCGCCATTAAACCACTGTAATACCGCTCCTTCCAAACTCAATGACACCAAATGAAGCTTCTCCTCCTCATTAAAGTTGCCAAACCTGAAAAATCTCTCCACACCAGATATCCAATCGAAAGGCAAAGTACCAGAGAACATAGGCATTTCAATTTTCCTTAACATCTTATCTCTATTCGCAAGAGTTCCAAGAAACCTAACTGTGTTGGAGGTATTTCCGTTTCAGGAATAGTAATCGGTACCTGATGATGAAGCGAATCCGAAGACGTAGCAATCTCCTTGCCCGGTCTTTGATTGATTATCGTTGCTTCCTCCAATCGAGTCAAAACCCCAGCGATATGAGTCATCTGCTTCTCCAAGGTTTCGAATCGCAAAGCCGAATCAATCGCCATCGTTTCGATCCTCTTCTCTACCGCTTCGAGCTTCTTCGTCGTAGCTCTGTCGTTCTGCGCCAATTTGTCATAGTTGTGCTTCGTCAGCTCCATCTCATCGTGAATCTGCTGAAACTCCATCCATTTTGTCGGTTCTGTGGATAACGACCTCTCTCGATCAGCTCCGTTACGCGTTTCTACCATATCGTCACGCGGTGGTTCCAATCCAGTTTCGCCGCACCAATGGTAGATTGTAGATCTTTGTAACTCGTAAACTCTTCCTCTTCTTATCGAATCAATGTAACAGTTACAACTCTGCTAATGAATCGAGCTAAGTTCTCATGGCGAACTCAGATCAATCCACTCGTCTCATAACGACGGTGTAGTACAGACTCATAACGTCTATAACTGACAACAACAAAGCATAAAAGACAAGATAACAAACAACAATCTATTTATACTCTCATTTCCTTACTTCCATTCTGCAACTGCAAACCTTCCGCAAGAAGTAGAGGTTCTCCCTACACTCGAACCCTCTCATGGAAATAGAAGTTTCACCACTTCTTTATTTGAATCAACACAACGATCATTTCTCTTCTGCTTCCAAACCCTTTCTTCCCTTCTTCCGAACGTAAGCCTTCTTATACCTATCAGCTTCCCTTTGTAATCTATCAATAGGGTAAGAGCCTCCAAAACAAGAACCTCCTGAGGCGCTGTGATAAAACTTGGCATCCTCTCATTTTTAACATCAAAACACACAATCACAGGAGTTTTTCCATGACTTGGAGCCCAAGAAGCATAATACTATGAATACATGAAACCATTGATGCATCGTCCCCTAGATACACGGAGATAAGGTGGGGAGGTAAGTTGGGTACGAGATACTACAACTCGTCGTCCTCCTCTTCTTCCAAGTGTTATAACCTCGTGCACCATGACACTAGGGTTATGATCATGATAGATGTCACGTGGGTCAATGCTTTGAATTGATCATCAACAGGATCGTATCCCAAGGATGTGCCCGGTGCCTTGCAGTGAAAGGTAATGACTTGCCTCGTGTTAGGGTTACATATAATGAAGTTTAACCCCTCAAAACAAGCGAGAAACCCATGGACGGAAAAATACTTGTAGCCGCCGTGAGGCCAGGTCACTGAGGGTATTGTCATGTCTAGATTGGCAACCAAAGAAGAACAAGTTTCCTCCTCCTTCTCCTCCTCCTCCTCCTCCTCCTCTCCTGACAAGATGAACAAACGCTTGGGATGATCACACACACTGTTGGTGAAAGCGACTATAAAACAGGATGGCTTCTTAGCGTAGTAAGAAGCCACAAATCTTTGGCTTTGGATAAGGGAATACCAAGTCTTGGACACGCATAGGAACTTCATAAGAGACTTTCCAGGCAATCTAGTCAGTGTCTCCACATCCATATCTAAAGGGAGGAGGACATTAGGTAGCTTCTTACCTGGGCTCTTGTCGTCGCTTCCAACGCCATTGTCCCTTGACTCGCAAAAGACTTCTTTTTGGTCACTCTTTGCATCCATCTTCTTCTTCAGATCAAGAGGCATCGGCTCCAAGCTGCCCTTCTCATGTTCCTTGTGTTTCATCATTGGAGCCGCTCCCGAGGAAACTCTTAATTTGACTCGATTGATAGATCTAAGACCATCATTAACCCGAGTCTCTTAACTGGGTTTCGGGTAAGAGACGGTTCTTAGTTTTTCTTAGATTTTAAGAAAAAAAAACTAAGAACCATCTCTTAAATAAGAGATATAAGAACCATCTTTTCGCCAAAAAGATCTTCAGCTGCCACGAGCTGCAAAGCCAGAAGATCTTCAGCCGCCACCGAAGCCAGATCTTTACCCGCCACGAGCTGCAAAGATCCACCACATGATGAAAAGATGGCCGCATCTGCGGCCAAAACTTCTAGTATTCATAAAACCAAACCAAAATGTTCCAACTTGCTGTGCATTCTAATGTTATATTTCTTAGCTATATCTGACAAAGTAGTCTCTAATTGGTTATCTGAAGAAGGGAAGGACTACAAACCGTTCAAACATACAAACATTCTGAGCTAATTAACCAAACAAAAGCACCAAGATAATAACAAGTCTCTAGAAAGTTGCAAGTCTGAAATACTGAAAAAGAAACTTATTATTTTGGAGGAAGAAGCAGTTCTTGTAAAACACGCAACTCCACCACCGCTGATACAATAAGTGGTTGCAGATAATCTTTTGTTTCTTTAAACCACTCTTCACTTATACACATTACACAAGATTACTCTTGAGGATTTGGCTGATTCCCAATATCCTCTCCCCTGTTTCATCAACCAAAAGTTATAAACCTTAAACAAAAGATGATATATATCCAGAAAAGCAAGTGATTCTTAAATCGAGACACACCTAAGGCGTCAACTTCGAGTAACGAAGCTTGAAGATTCTTTTCCCTTGCTTCAAGCTCTACGCGGAACTGTCTTACAGTGTTCAGAGTATCTAGAATGCTCAGCTTCACGTTCGCAACTTGATCAGAGATTGAGCAAGATTCTTGTTGCGTGCGTTGCAAGTTACTTGAGTTATTGGTGGGTCTGTTTGAAAGCCGAGGTCGTCCTCTCTTCCGTCTCTCAGTTTCTACTATTGGAGTCTCACAAGCTCTCTTCTTACTAGCTCTTCCATTTCCATTTCGCTTGTTTTCAACCTGAAAATGACCTCGTGAGACATTTTTACCATATGTTTAGCTCTAAGTTTAGCTAATAAGCACAAAGTTGTGTTGTTTGTTTACCTTAGAGCAGAACTTAAGCATAGGGTTAGCATCTTCCCATACCAACTCCAACACAAACGAGTCATTTACTTTGACTCCATTAGCTTTGCACATCTCTCTCCAGCCATGTCTCAGATAAAACCATTCACTTCCACATTGTCCAGTCATCTGAAGATAAGATGGCCACTTTCTACCGTCTTGGTTCAACAGTGTTATCTCCCCAGACTTCTTAATGCCACTCTCATTTACAAAAACCGATGAAATATACTGAAACAAGATTTCATTAGTAACAAAATTCATGACTATATCCATTAGTAACGCCCTAGGCTCTACAAAAATCAGGACAAAGGTTTATGAACTTACTAGCTGCCCGGTCTGTAAACGGTTTGGTGTCAACTTTATTGTCAGAAACTGAGAAGGAGTAGTATTCTTGTCTTTGATGCAGCCTCCTACAGAAGAAGTCCTCACTACATCTGCTTCAGGACACTCTTCTTCTTCTTCTTCATGGTCATTACCAGACTCGTGTGGACACAGCCTAAGCACAGGCCTTTCCCTATTCTCTGAAAGTTTGAACTTGCAGATGTCACCTTGACTTAACCCATTAGCTGAGCAGAAGTTAACCCAGCCTCGTCTGATGTAAAACACACCACTTGAGATGTTTTTTGAAAGAAGCAGTGTCCATTTTCTTCCGTTATCATTAACTAACTCTATCTCACACGGTTTGTTGTGCTTATTAAACGACATAACCGTGAAATCTTTAGAAAGATCCTGAAATCACAACAAACAATACAACGTTAGTACATCTCTCACAGTATCCTACTCTTCACTAGATACGATAATAAATGTAAAAAGACGAGTCCAGTAGTTACCAAACGATCTTTGATGAGGCTATAAGGTGTTACACGTGCTCTGAGGAAACAAGAATCTGCTTCTGTCTTCTTATTCTTGTTCACCAACATGTCCCCTGAATCACAACAATCTTCACTTACATTTTACTAAATTTTAAACGTATTATCACTTACAAACACCTTACCTGCGTCATCCTCTTCCCCATCATCATCATCATCATCAGAATAGTCATCATCAGTCTCAGCATCGTCTGTATCAACAAAGCTAGGAGAAGCGTGGTGACTTATGTCACTTGAGCTGGACCGAGGAGACACAGCGACATGAAAGATCTCGTCTCCATCGTGTCTGAAAACCAATATGTCTCCGTCTCTGAAACCATGAACGACGGCGAACTCATCCCAGCCGCCGGCGACCCTGTTTCCGTCTAGTTTCACTTTCCAAATTTTGTCCGACGCGTCTGATATTAGCAAAACTTTCGTGTGTTTCGTCAAGAACTCATCATCAAGCGTCTGCAACAACAACAAAAAAATAAAAAAAAATTTGACTACAACAAAGATAGAAAATCAACAAAAGATCATGTGAAAAGGAAGCCTTACAAGAACTGGTTTGGCTCCGGTAAGAAATCTCTGGTGAAACAGAGAGCACTTGTGAGGAATCGCCATAGTTCAACTCTGTTTCAGGGCTCCAACGAAACTGTGTTTCTACTTTCTAGTGTTTGGTTTTCCTCACTCACAATGATGACGTTATGTTTTTAATAACATAGATACAGTTACGTTACATAAGGATATCGAATCTACTCAAATGAAAAAATGATGTGAATCTTTGACATTGATATAAATAAACCCATCATCCTATTAACTCTTTTTCTTACACTCTACTCACTTTTGTCACCCATCAAACTACCCATCACCTATGACAAAAGCCTACTCTGTACCCCAAACCTATAAAAAAGAAGTTTAATAGAAACAATACTGGTTTCGTTGGTACAATTCTATAAAGATGATCTAGTTTCACACAGTATGGCCAAAAGAAAAGAACAACAATCTTAGAAGAAAACGATAAAACGTGTCTTGTCTGGAAGATTTTTGGATAAACTTTTTATTGCAGTAATTAATTTTCATTTCACTTTTTTTTAACTGGATTACTTTAGTACCAGAGGCTCTCTACGACTATGAGTAGGGCTGGAACTTTTAATTATCCGAACTGGATCCAATCCAATTTGGACTAATTCGATTCGGTTTTGGTATATACAATCTTATTCGATGGTTATTTTTGTCAATAACTATGGGTATCGGGTCGAATTCGCCAGAACTGAACTAATACCCGTTTTAATTCGAATTATATATATATATATATATATATATATGTAAAAACACATAGAATGTATTTCCCAAGTGTCAAATCCAAGTTGGCCTGACGAATTATCAAGTTATCGCTAGACTACTTCCAACATTGTTGTAATGATTTTCATATTACTAATACAAATATGATTTATAATTATTTTTTTCTTTTTAAAAAATAAAAAGGTAAAATAAAAATTAGAAAAAATAAAAATACAATATTTTCAAGTTTAAAATTGTATAACCGAATCGAACCGGGCGGAATCGATTTAAAACCGAACAGTAAGTCGACCAAGTATTATATTCATTAGATACCGTTTTTTTTATATAACACTGTTAAATTTAAATAGTTCAAAATGATACATAAAGGAAAATCAGAAGAGATAAGATGAGATGTGAGTAGACACCAAACAGAAGTGGAAAGGATCTCACCAAATCCCCTTTATTGCTGAGCGTCGAAAGCGAGTAAGTGATGTAGCCACACCGGAGCATTTCGGACGATGTACGACTAATGATGCAGATCACGAGTGACACTAAAGTAATTGCCGCTGCAGTTTCATTGCGTTTAGGAAAAACGTGATTCAAACTCCATGAATCAATTCTTATGAGAAGAAAAGAAATATTGTGGCGAATTGGATACAGTTCCTAAATAATCGATTTACCCCTAATCGAACAGATCTTACCTGATCCGAATACCCGGAGTCCTGATCCGAATACCCGGAGTCCCAGCCTAGCTGACTATCCAGATTGGGATTTTGGGCTCAACTTCTTGAACTGGACTGCAAATACGGGCTTATCGGTGAACGAAAACGTGTTTAAGACATTTTCACTCACTCAGAAGCTGCTGACTTTTTTATTTTAGCGTTGACTTACACCAGATTTCACTCGAACTCACTTAAGATCCTCAATCCAAGGAAGAAACTACGAACTTTCGAAATGCAAAAATCTAATTAAACAATCAATTTCAATCGCGCTTTCTTCTTGTAATGCGTTCGAATCACGTTGAAACCTCTAAGAAACGTGTTTCCTGAGGAATCATTTCGCCATTTTCTCTTTGGTTTCTGTGCATACCGATTCTCAAATCTTGAATAGATTTAAATCTCGAAAGCACTCTTCTTTCCATGGAGGTCCAACCCGAAATGGAGCCCACCTCGTCCTTTAGGTACTCTGCTCTTAATCTTTTTAATTTGTTAATTTCTGGGTTTTTTTGCAATTCGATTAGGTAAGTTTCTGGGATTGAGAATTTGATCGATTTAGGACGTGGGTATTGTAATTACTGGTCTAGTGATTCGAGGGCTGTATGAAAGTTTGAAACTTGCATTACGTTTCTTCATCTGGGTAGATCTAGATCTCGACATTCAGAACAGAGCAATTGGTTTACATTTAAGTAAAGCTTTAGTTACTGTTTGTTACTTTGATGCAGTTTAATAGCAGCTGTTTCATATGGCATTGCTTCAATGGCAATGGTCTTTATCAACAAAGCTGTGATCATGCAGTATCCACACTCCATGACTGTTCTTACACTACAGGTACTGATCATGCGTCAGTGTTTGATATTTAGATTACTCATTTCCTTAAAAAAAAAGCTAACTTTGAATTGGTCCGGTTTGATATGTGTTAGCAATTGGCTACTTCTTTGCTTATACACTCTGGCAGAAGGATGGGGTACACGAGAGCCAGAGGAATTGATTTGGCTACTGCGAAAAAGCTTCTCCCTGTTTCGATCTTTTACAATGCTAATGTTGCATTTGCTCTTGCAAGCTTGAAAGGAGTTAATATTCCAATGTATATTGCTATTAAGAGACTCACTCCACTTGCTGTTTTGATTGCTGGGTATCTCTTTGGTAAAGGCAAACCAACAACTCAGGTATATATATACCATTATATGATATGCTCATGGAATATTATTTGATCTATGTAATGTTTATGGAGTCTCTTGTACAAATTTCAGGTTGCTCTATCTGTACTACTGACAGCTGCAGGATGTGTAATTGCAGCTCTTGGAGATTTTTCTTTTGATCTTTTCGGGTATGGTTTGGCTTTAACATCTGTCTTTTTCCAGGTTGGTTTTCATTTTTCTTTCCCTTCTCTCTTGCATCAAATCCTCCCATCAACCATATGTTGTAAGAATATATGGTTTCGTCCTTGTCCCTTGCAGACCATGTACCTCGTGCTGGTGGAGAAGTCTGGTGCAGAAGACGGTCTTTCCTCGATCGAGATAATGTTCTATAACAGCTTCCTTTCCCTCCCATTTTTGTCCTTCCTCATCGTAGTTACTGGCGAATTCCCAAACTCTATATCCCTACTACTTGCAAAGGTCAGAAACTTTCATCATTCCAAGCTTGTAGTTTTTCTCAGAAACTCTTCTTTTAAAATGTCTTTTCTCTTCTACAGTGTTCTTATTTGCCCTTCTTGGTGATTCTCGTTCTTTCACTGGTTATGGGCATTGTCCTCAACTTCACCATGTTTCTTTGCACCATTGTTAACTCTGCTCTAACAACAACCATCGTTGGTGTCCTCAAAGGCGTTGGTTCCACCGTGAGTATACTATTATATTCTCATCTAGCTAGTGTCTGACTGTCTGGAGACTATCATTTTCTCAGTCTTCACTTATCTTATTTTCTTTTAATTTTCCAGACGTTCGGTTTTGTCCTCTTGGGTGGTGTTGAAGTACATGCTCTGAACGTGTCTGGTTTGGTGGTCAACACAGCTGGTGGTGTGTGGTACTCGTATGCCAAGTACCGGCAGAAAAGGGCTAAACCGGCTAAGACATCGTCTGATTTGGAAGCTCACAAAAAATGAGGATTTCTGGTCCGATTCCGTTCTCACCAGAAATAAGTTTATATTAAATCAAATATAGAAAACCATGGATGTTACTTTAGAGAATTGATAGACTTGAAAAAAAAAATTTACATTCGGTTCAATCTTAATATTCATGATTAATGTCTGATTAGATTAGAATCCGTACTTTGTGTGGGATGAACAGTTTGTATACAAATTATATTTACGCACTATTATGTATTTTACAGTTGTTATGTACTATAAAATAATAAAATAATAATATATTGAATAATTGAAAAGCCAATGACCACCTCAAGTGCCTTGAGTAATAGATCAGCCGTTTGATGTCAAAAAAAAAAAAGAAAAGCCAATAATTATTATATATAATTAAATTTATGAAAACACGTAAATCAAAATAATTATTCTTTTTATTTTTAATATTTTATGGTAAATAAATCTAAACAGTTATTTTTATCTATTTTATATGATATATAATTAAATTTAAATGATATAGACATATAATATATTTTGATATGGTTATCTATTAAATAAGGTTTTTTACTCATTTGGTTTTAATGATCCTTTTTACTCATATTATTAAATAATGAAATCATCGATTAAATGCACTTTGTATCCTGATTACACATAACATTGCAGTATTAGAGTTAAGGGAGGACCCTTTGAGAAAAAATGATGGCTCCAAGGTTGGATTTTTCAGACTGGTGGGCGAAAGAGACAGGGAAAGGAACACCAGTTGTTGTCAAAATGGAGACCCCAAACTACTCAGTAGTTGAAATCCAAGGACCAGACTCAGCCTTCAAACCAGTGGAGAAGAACAGAGACAAGAACGCAAAGCAAGTCACGTGGGTTTTACTTCTCAAAGCTCATAGAGCCGTTGGATGTCTCACTTGGCTCGCCACTGTCTTCTGGTCTCTCCTTGGCGCCATCAAGAACCGTCTCACCTTCACTCACCCTCTGAGAAGCTAGGCAGAGACGGGTGGCTTTTCTCAGCCATTAAGCTCTTCTTAGCTGTTTCTTTGGTTATTCTCGTGTTCCAGATTGTTGCTTACTTCAGAGGATTATACACTAGTCTTCACATCCCCACTAGCTCACTTGAGGTTCAGAGCTTGCTTCAGCTTGTCTACGTTCTTTGGTTGATCTTATACAATCAGATTATATTGCTCCCCTAATCAAAGCTCTCTCCAAGTTTTGTATTGTGCTGTTCCTTATACAGTCTGTAGACCGTTTGGTTCTTTGCTTGGGTTGCTTTTGAATCAAGTATAAGAAAATTAAACCGAGGTTTGAAGAGAAACCATTTGGTGATGGTGATGATGATGATGATGATGATGCTGAGGGGTCTGGCTCTGCCTATCGAATGGTTCTTGTTCAGATACCAATGTGCAATGAAAGAGAGGTATGTATGCTATAAGCCTTTTGGCATCAGTTTTGACTTTCAGTGTAATGATCTTTGGTCATATTCTTCTTGTTTCAGGTGTATGAACAGTCTATATCTGCTGTGTGTCAACTTGACTGGCCAAAAGATAGAATCCTGGTTCAGGTTCTTGATGACTCAAACGATGAAAGCATCCGACAGTTGATTAAAGCTGAGGTTGCTAAATGGAGCCAAAAGGGAGTCAATATAATCTACATGCATCGTTTGGTTAGAACTGGATATAAAGCTCGTAACCTTAAGTCAGCTATGACTGTGATTACGTGGAAGCATACGAGTTTGTAAGCTATCTTTGATGCGGATTTTGAACCTAATCCAGACTTCCTTAAACTAACAGTTCCACATTTCAAAGTTGGTACTAACATCTGTTTCATTATATCTAACTGAAAAATGGGGAGAATTTTGTAACTTGTTGATGATGTGATTGATCTTCAGGACAACCCAGAGTTAGGTTTGGTTCAAGCTAGGTGGACATTTGTGAACAAAGACGAGAACCTGTTGACCCGTCTTCAGAACATCAATCTATGTTTCCACTTTGAGGTTGAGCAGCAAGTGAACGGTGTGTTCTTGAACTTCTTTGGTTTCAATGGAACAGCTGGAGTTTGGAGAATCAAAGCCCTTGAGGAATCTGGTGGCTGGCTTGAAAGAACAACTGTGGAGGATATGGATATAGCTGTCAGAGCACATCTCCATGGATGGAAGTTCATCTATCTTAACGATGTCAAGGTAGGTACTATTCACCCATCAAGGTAGTAGTATTCATGTAACTATTTATATTAAGCTGGAGTGAAAACAATGTAATAGGTACTTTGTGAAGTTCCTGAGTCCTATGAAGCGTATAAGAAGCAGCAACACCGTTGGCATTCAGGACCTATACAGCTTTTTCGCTTGTGTCTTGGTTCAATCTTGACATCTAAGGTATTAGTGTGTAAACAACTCTTTTTCTTCTTCTTCTTCAAAGTTTTTGATCAGTCTTTGTTTCTTGCAGATAGCTATATGGAAGAAGGCGAATCTGATACTTCTCTTCTTCCTTCTTAGGAAACTCATACTTCCTTTCTACTCCTTCACATTGTTCTGCACAATCCTCCCACTCACCATGTTTGTACCAGAAGCTGAGCTCCCTGTTTGGGTCATCTGCTACGTACCGGTCTTCATGTCTTTCCTCAACCTTCTTCCATCTCCCAAATCTTTCCCTTTCATCATCCCTAACCTCTTGTTTGAGAACACAATGTCTGTCACCAAGTTCAACGCAATGGTATCCGGATTATTCCAGTTGGGTAGCTCTTATGAGTGGATTGTCACAAAGAAAGCTGGAAGATCATCAGAGTCAGATATTTTATTCTTCACTGAGAAAGAGACACCAAACAAGAAAAGCCAGTTCCTTGTAGGGGTTTCAGACAGTGAGCCTTTGGAGCTGAGCCAACAGAAGCAAACAAAGAAAGCAGTCAAGAAAACGAACAAGATATACCACAAAGAGCTTGCGTTAGCCTTTCTTTTGCTCACTGCAGCGGTAAGGAGTCTCTTGGCAGCTCAAGGAGTGCATTTCTACTTCTTGTTGTTCCAAGGTGTTACTTTTCTTCTCGTGGGTCTTGACCTCATTGGGGAGCAGATGAGCTGAGAAAAAAAAAACAGAGAAGCTTCATAGATTCCATTACTCGGGTCAGTAAATCAGTGAGTTCAATGGTGTCCTCTGTAATGAGATTGTTGGAACCATATTGTCAGGCATTAATTTATTTTCATGTTTGTTTTGTTTTGTTATGTTTGTTTGTTTTCTTAATTGTTAGGGATAGAGTGTGAGCCAGAGATATTCATACATGTATACATTATATCTGTAAAGTTGGAACATGTTATTTAAAGCCCAACCTTTGTGGAAAAAGATTGTTAATGTAAACAACTAACGAGAAGCAGTTTCTGTCTAGAATGAAACTGTAACGACCCAAAACCCAGTACAGTAATTTTGGCCCGGTTAGGTTCAGTAGTGTGGAAGAAAACCCTAAACTCTTCCTTTAAAGAAAGATTAATGTTCAACAGACACGTTTTGAGAGAACAGAGTAACGATTGATCAAAACCAAGAATTTCGAAACCTAATTTTGAGGTTATGTTCTAAATTCTTAGATCTACGTATATCAGAAAACGGATCGTCATTTGGAATTTTTATCTAAGAGTTATGATTATTTCTTCGGGACTGATTTCTACAGATCGGATCTACCAGCAGTCATCTTCATCAATATTTTCCCGTTGATCCAGAATGAACCAGAAAACGAGCGAGATATCATTGGAAAGATCTAGATGTCAGATTTCTAGATCATCTTTCGGATCGTGAAACAAAGGTACAGTTAGAAAGTTATTGACGTTTCTTCGTGACGATAATTAAACTGTTGTGTTGCAGAGGCAGTTCCGAGAAGTCTCAGCGTACAGGCGAAACGGTCAACCTAAATGAAATATTTCAATCTGTAAATTTGTCAGTAAGTAGATATTTCTTTTATCTATCATCCCAAGCAAGCGGATCATCATTTCGAATTATTTTCTGAGAGTTACGCTTATTTTCGTGAAAGGTGTTGGTGTAGTCTGCATTTGCGACCAACTTGGAGGCGAGGCTATTTTGAGTAATCAAACGGTGTCTGATCGGTGTAAATTCGGTGGATACAGGCAGAGGACGACTAGGACTATATTATGACCGGAGGGATCGAAAAGCTAACGGTCAGTTCTTGAGTTATTCATCTGATTTATCTAGAGTTCAGGTATGCCAGACTCTTCACATTCATATATTTTCAGAGAGTTCAGGAGTTGATGTTTTTAGAGCCACTAGGGTCATTCAGTGTTTTCTCAGGTTTTCTTCAGAACCCGTGGCAAAGGTGAGGGTCTATTCCGTAACTCCCGTACCAGTATAGAATTCTTCCTATCGTAGTTTAGATTTCGAAGCATGATCCGTCTGTTTGAATTGAGTCTGTTTGAGTCTTGTTTGGTAGTTAGTTCATTGACTGTAACCGGAACTAGGGGTCTAGAGGAGTCAACTATGGTTTGGATTGTTTGATGCTAAGTGATGTTATATACATATATGTATTATACATAGTTATGAGTAGGGACTATGTGTGGGGCGTGAGTTCAGAGCTGTCCGGGCTTCGACGCTACGATGTGGGGCGTGAGTTCAGAGACGTTTGAGCTTCGACGCTACTGTTTGGGGCGTGATGCAGAGACGTTTGCATTCGACGCTACGGTTGGGCGGGGGTACAGAGACAGATTGTACTAGCGACGCTTCGAGTATATATTTATATCCTTATGAGGAGTATGCGGGGTGTATGGATTAGTTGTATGCTATCATCGCATGGTTGTTTTGTGGGCGCTCTAGGTGCCGTGATTGTTCATGTTAGAGCTAAACTTCCATAGTGGGAGTTCTATTTACTCAAGTCAGTGTTTTGCGTGTTTAGCATCCCATACCTCACTGAGTGACTCCCATGTTACTCACCTCCCATTCTTTCTCCTTTCAGGTGATATTGACGATCGAGTGTGATCTTTTCGGACTGGTGCTTTTGTGAGTTTTATTTATTTATTTTCAGACTTATGCTTTTATCGATATTTTCGAGAGTTATTACGTTATTTGGATTTATGAAATTTTTGAGATGATTTATGCGATTTAATGAATGGAGATTTCAGACATTTTTATTTATTCTATTATCTGGAAAATGCGGGTGTTACAGAAACAAGCAAAAGAGAGTGACCACTTAATGGTTTCTGATCTTAGTGCAAAGAGGCGGACATGAGCTCCCTCATGATGATGTTTCTTGTATTCTAGACCTTCTGGGTCTGGTCAATGTCTC